GCAGCGTGCCGGGAAGAGCACCGGCATAAAGGAACTCAGCGTGCCCCCACGGCATACGCAACATTTGAGATGGTCCTGGCGTACGGTGCGCACCATCAACTGTATATCTTCCCCAATGAGGATGATATCAAACTGACGAACATCGGCGAGCAGAAAACGGGCATTCACATAAATCATATCCGCTCTACTGTGCAGGGAATAATTGCGATCAGCAGTCAGGATAGTTTTGTATCCCCTTTTCATTTCGTAGGTATCGCACTCCTCCATATCCAAATAGCCAGTGTATTGTTGACGCGGCGACAACTTGGCTATAATGGTGGAGGTAACAGGAAAACCAAACTCCTTCGAGACAGCTATCTCGGCTTCGCGCAGCTGCACAATTATATCCTGATTTTCCCGTAGCGGTCCACGAAAAAGATCGATTAAAAAACAGCGTATGCCGGAATCTAAGTCATATAATGAAATTTTGTAATCCTTAGCTGTGGCGCACTATCCAATATACTCACGCAAATACATATACAGATTCTCATCGCATTTCCCGCAACCCAGCTCAATGCACTTGCCGTTCTCATTTGTATTGAGGGTTTCCGGTACGTTGAGTATCTGGTAGCCAGCAAAAAAATTACCCCAACGCTCTTCATCAAAGGGCATTTGGCATATATCCTCGCTGATGCTCTCGTACATTTGCAAATCGTCGCTAAAGCTATCGACGCCCGGCACATAAGACATTATTTTCAGGCTGTGAATTGATGTCAGCCGCTTCAAGTCCTCGGGATTCTTATGAAGACTGCCATCATCATCCTGGCCGATCAGATCTATGAATGCCTTGCGGCGCTGCAAGGAAGACAACAGCTCCTTAGCTCTGAGTACCTTATCCACATCGACCGCGACCACTTTGAGTCGCTGGCAAATATTTTCGATGACATCTTTCTTCTGTTTGATACTGAGCTCGTTATCTTTGGATGTTTCGGATATCTCTTGCACGTCTGCCTTCAATTCGTCCATATTGATTTAAGCAAATTGGCCAAAAACAAATACAATAAAAAAGTACAGCTATTAAAGCTCATATATATGATCACAACTGGATGTAAGGCACATAGTTTTACAAATATATACTTTATATTCAATTCGAAAACAATATCAGTGAGGTTAAAAAATTTGATTTATATTTCAAAATTAAAATAGCTTTATATATATATGACAGCAAATGTGTCGGTCTTAAGTTTTGGTTCCGGAAGCTGGCTTAGGTCTTTGATTCTTTACATTTTTGATGCAGTTTTCAATAAAACTATAAACCACTCAAATTATTTATAGTCAAATAAACATTAAAATACTTTTAAGCCTGAGTCTATTGATAATGTGTAGAAAGGGTGTAACAGTTGTGTGTATATGCATTAGTCAGAAGGCAACAGATGCGATCCCCATGGATTTTTTATTTTCCTACCTAGTCATATCTGTCTGTCTGCTTGTTCAGCTCAGAGACTAAAAAGTATGAAATACTTTACAAACGTCGCTCAAGCTCAAGTTTATATCAAAAAATCGATTTCGAATCCACTTTTTATCACGTCTTGAAGCTGTTAATGCCTACACTCTGTTAGTTTAGCTCTCATTTTGTAAGTATATACAGATCAAAAATTATTACATTTTATGATACCTTCTTTCTAAAATTTAAAAAAAAAATTATTTTTTTTAGGCAAAGTTCTGGGCTTTGGCATTTACACACTTTAAGCTACCATATAAATCGAAAAAAAAACGAGAAAGAAGGCTATCTTCGGCACGCCGAAGATCTAATACCCTTGCAGACCGAACCTTTTCATAATGCTTATAGTGCTTTGCCCGTATCTAAGAAGCACAGGGAAAATAGTTAATGCCAAGTTTGGTCAAGGTATCTTGATATACAAAAACGGTTTTTAATTAAAAACCTAGTTTTCGACCGATCGTTCCTATGGCAGATATATGATATAGTAGTCCGATGTAAATAAGATTTTGCAAAAATGAAGGGAGCATAGTGAGATCTTTAAATGCCGTGTTTAATCAAAATATCTTGAATGAATTAAAAAAAAATTTTCCATACAAATTAATATTCGACCTATCGACATATGATATAGTGGTCTGATCTTTATAGGATTTTGCATATATAAGAGGAGCATCGTAAAACTGATAAATGCCGATTTGGTCAAGACATCTTGACAAACAATTTTTATTTTCATACAACTTAATTTTCGACCGATCTTTCCTATGGCTGCTATATGATCCGATCAAGCTGGTTTTGACATATGAGCTGCGTGCAACAAAAAGAGGGACTTCTGCAAAGTTTCATAAAGATAGCTTTAAAACTGAGAGAAAAGTATAGAAACGACAGACGGACAGACGGACATGGCTATATCAACTCGGCTGTTGATACTGATAAAGAATATATATATACAAAATCAGAAAGAGACTTTAATATTTTTAAAGAACCTAATATATTAATTGATGAAATGAAAAAAAATGTTTGCCTTTAGGCTTGGTTATTCCTTGTCCAATTCGGTTTAAGGTTCGGTTCATGGTATATACACAATAAATATTATTCATAAATTCAGAAGAACTTACTGCAATTTTGTATTGGTTTCGTTTGATTTTTGTTAATTTCCACCTTAAAAAGAAACCGCAGGTATAAGATGTTCGTTTTGTATCATTCTTTGTGTTAATTTGTTTATTTCCGAAATTTATTTGTATGCTTTGTGAAGCGAGATGTTAAATTTAGCAACGCGTCAAGTGAAATGTTTACAATGTGAGAGAAAGTTAAATGGAAGCTGGCAGTACGTATAACTGAGCATTTTCCGATTTTCCAGCGGCAACAGCAGCGCACTTGAGCACCAGCAGTAGCAGAGTCAGCGGTAACGGCAGCAGCCCGGCAATCCCGCAGCAGTAGCCAGATCATCCGCCGCCCGAAAACATAAACATACGAAATGTTTAGAGAATAAAAATTCATATTCCAGGCGAACATTTTTCAGTTTGTAGGTTTATTTTCTTCTTGTTTTTCCCTGATGATCTGTTCGTTGGACTGTTTTTGCTGTTGTTGTTTATTTTTGCTGAGAACTGACAGATACACGGGCCGCTCTTGGGTGTGGCCAGTGCATGTTTAGCCTAAACAACGGCAAGAGAATTCTGTCTTCCTTTTGCTAACTAATCAGTCGAGTGCAGGCCGCTTGAACTTTGACGTGAACTGCAGCCGTCGGATGTGGCACTCTGGCTGGGAATGGGACTCCTCCCTAATAAGCTATTTTGTCCGTTTTTAGAAACAATTTCTATGCCACAAGACGGCAGCACTAGCTGCGGCGGCGGCGGCGGCGGCAGCGGCAGCGGAAACGTGTGTGTGGGTGGAGATGATGTATAGAGGTGGGGTCATGTAGGGACGCGGTCGGTATAGGGGTAGGCTGCTGTGAGACCATGGGAGGCCAGCTGCTGAGCATCGAACATGAATTGCCGTGCTCGTGGATCGTTCGTGCACTTGAGTTCCGGGCCGTTCGCTCGCTGGTCGGTCCATTTGGGCCTCTCGCTCGCACCGTTCCCGAAAATGTTTTCCATCTCTTACAGTACGTTTCGTTTTGTGTCGGCATTTCAATATTTTTATTTTTCTTAGTCTTTTTATACTTTTTTGTTTTGTGAATAGAATTTTTCAACAATTTGGCTGTCCTAGAGTTTTCAAAATTTTGGAGCGTAGGTGCAGTGTGTCGCGACGCGTCAGCCTGTGCGGATCGGTGCTCTATAGTTTTTTGTCTAAACTCAAGAAGAAAAAATAAGGAATATTCAAAAATATATTCAAAATAATGCATAAAGTTAAGGAGATCAAAATAGCAGTTTGTTGCGTTGCGCTAAATATGTAAACCGAAAGTGCTTCATGAATGTCAGGATATTTGGTAGGAAGTGTTTCTGTTGAACTACGGAAGTGGGCGCTGTGCTTGTTGCCAAGTTGCCATATGCACATATATAGACCACATATACGTGCACATACGCCGACGCTCATACATTCATATATGTAGACAATTTTCGGCTTTCCAATATTTTCACTCAACTCTGCTTTGCCTTTGGCTAAAAATATTTTCCGTTAAAAACGTCGAAATATCCAAAAGGAATAAAAAAAATAAATGAAAGAAATAAAAACATCCACTCGTCTCAGTGCTGCCGCCTGTTTTTCATAATTTTTCATCTTTATTTTATTTATCGTATACATGAATTTTTGCTCTCAAACTTTTGCCAACGCGTTGCGTTTCTCAGTGGATTTCGCATGTCGTCATTTTTGTTTACCCCCCCTGCACAAAAGTTCCCAACATTTTCACAATTTTCACAATTTTTCGCGGCCTTTGTCTTTGGCAGTGGAGCCGAAGGCATAGAGCTGCCTAATGAAACAAATCACAATTTAATAGGCACAGAGCGTAGTTTACAACTTCCTTGACTATATATATCTAAATAGATAGTACGTGAGATTCATATGTAGAATCTATGTACATATGTGCGGCATGGGAAGACAGCTGTGTGCTCTTTGGCAGATGTCATGCTGCGTATGTGGGGGAAGTCCATAAAAAACAAAAACGAAAATAAAAAATAAAGAAACAAACCAGCGCACAGTTATAAAAATAAAACTATTTTTGTATGGCATGCTTTGAGCAGTCGATGATCAGAATATTTCGGCTTTTTGCGAACAGGCAGCGCAGAGTCTCTTGGCACAGTTTTCCAGCCTCGCCAGTCCATGCATAAATCAATCATGGCAAATTCAATTAATTCAATTCAAATACGAATTTAAAGCTTTTTTTCTAATCTAACAACCCAACGCAATGTGCCTTGGCAGGGTCTATATGAAAGTATACATAAGTTGATTGTATGGCATAATAATCTATCTTTGATCTATAAAGTTCTAGTCGATTTGTCTTTTTCCGCTTACTGGCGTTTTATTGAGCAACGACAGGAAAGGGAAAAAGGCGTATTTACTATGAATTTGTTCAACCAATCTGTTTAAAAATCTATTAAAAGAAAATAAATTTTAATCATACAAATAGAGAACAACTGGTGAGTAGCCCTTTATAAATATTTTCTCAAGTGCATCCCTTAAATACTTATATGCAAATGTTTTGTAACCCGCTAATCAAAGCAGACATCTTAAACGACGCATGTCGACAATTTTACGCCAAATCTAATGATTCATTTTAATAATGAATACATTAATCTCCGCCCTATAAAGCATTTTATGCGTTCGTTTTGCAAGGACAATATACTTGAGCAGCACTTTATCATATTCAATCATTTAAATTTCATATATATATATATATATATATATATATATATATGTATATAATATATGTATATATTGTTTTTTCATTAAAGCTTTTGATATATAGATACAGAAATATGTGTCTATGAAAATATTATTTATATTCTTTTTATAACATACAATTATGAATTTTGGTCTTAGATCTGCCGTATTGACGTTTCAAATTTAGTTTTCAAGCATGCACAGTAATCGATTTATATATTGAGTTTGAATGTTAAAAACAAATGTAGGGAATACTTGCCTTAGATTTATAACCATATGTTTGAAATATTTCTAAAAATAAACCAATTGTGTATCTGGAACAATACAGTTTCTATAAATATGAATTAATTGTTTTTTGTCTGTGACTAACTCCCAAATTTAATAAATAAACTTAAGTATAACAAATTGAACGTAATTATACTTCAGTTTCAAATAAAAAAGATAAAAAACCTGTAAATTACATATTTCCAAAAAATATAGCCGATCGATACTGCCATAAAGCTAATATATATGCATACATATTAATAAATTAAAACACACTTATATCTAAGTAATATTTCCAGTTACCTTATACATTATATATTGAAGGCTATGCACATTGAAATCGCTGCATATATAGTATGTCTTTATAAATATATGGAAATATAAAAATGTGTATATTTAGTAACATACCACCCCCAATCTGAGGCGCTGATATTTTTGTAGCATTTCGAATGAAATGAAATTAAATGTATAATTTATTGTTGCATAAACAAAAGGCACGAAACCGAATCGAAAATCGAACCAAACGCAGCCGAAGCGCATGTGGCACCTTTAAGTATTTCGATTTGTACTCGGCCCCAGACCCCGCTCTCACCTCGAATATCGCCCTGGTTTGGCCTGGTCTATGTGGAACGCATTGTATTTTGCAGGGGCTGGAAAAATTAGTGCTCCCGCACGAGCTGAGCCAAAAATAACAATCGGGCGGTGAGGGCTCAAATGTTAGAAAATGTGTGGGGGGATGGTTGGTGGAGGAGGTGAAGCGGTGCAAAGAAGCACAGATTTGTTTATAGTTTTCGTATAAACAATTGGCAATTGAGAAATCGCTTGTTCGAGAAAAATCGAAACAGTTTTTGCTGAAAAATGACGAAGATGGTTGCGAAATTCGTGAGCATTCAATAATTCCAATTCTATACAAAAAGTTCAAAAACTAAAAAGAAACCAAATTGAAAAGCTGAAAATAAAAACGTTGGGGAAACAATGCATGCAGAAATATCGGCGAACCGCATCAAACCATAATCATATAATCATGCTAAATAATGAATGCAAGCTGAAGCGCAACTGGGTTGGCGTTAAGAGCAAAGTAAACAAGTGCATAAGGAATGCGAGAACAAACTGAATATGAATAGCCAGGAATACTCATAAATACCCGAGTACTTATGGGCTCTGTGTATGTATGTATCTGGCCGGATGATCTGAAATTGATCGCCAGAAATTGTAAGGCGTATACATGCAGTTAATTGATATGAAATTAATTCTTAGAACGAGTTTCAGCTTACAAAAATTTTGCGACTTAATGTATGTCACAAGCGAAAACCGGTAAGGATGATGACCACAAATAATTATTTGGGTTTTTTTTTTGTGATTTTGGTTGGCTTGCCCTTTAAAAGGCGACTAATCGGCTGCAGAGGCTCAAACCGTAGAGAGCAGCGGCACAAACAGCAACAGCATGTTGAAGATTGTAAGTAGACGCAAATGTTCCATTCTCCTGGTTGCGTCCACTAATGCGTCCACTTCCTTTGGTGCAGTTACTTAGCATTTTTGGCCTGTGTCTGGTTGGCGCTTTGGCCGCGCCCGCCGATGTCGATCATACGAGCACAACGGTGCCGCCAGTGGCTATTGTGGATTCGGGTCAGGAGAAGCATGAGGATGGCTCGTATCATTTCTTTTACCAGGGCGAAGATGGCACGAGGCGCGAGGAGACGGCCGTGGTGCAGAATGCAGGCACTGGGGATGCGTTCCTCGAGGTGAGCGGCACCTATTCATATTTCGATGCCGACGGCAAGGAGGTGGTGGTGAACTACAAGGCCGATAATTACGGTTTTGTGCCCGAGGGAGGCAACATATTGCCACAGATAACGCTGGCCGCCAAGCTGGCCAGTGAGCAGAGGTACCCTCTTCCCGATACGGACTATAAAAAGCCGCCGCAAAACGAATAAAAAGTAATCAAATGTTGCAAAGAAAATATTAGTTTCTATGCCTACAAATCATTAAAAATGGTTAGAAAGATTATATTGGTGTTATGCAAATGGAGGAAGCAGGCTTTTTCCATTCTCTTGACCAGCATCAACAGCCGAGTTGATCTAGCCATATCCGTCTGTCCGTCCGCTTAATTTGCAAGGAAAGATCGAGTTTATTTCTAAAGAACGAAAACTCGCTCTGCTTCTGCTTCAATATAAAACCTATATCAAAATTCAGTTCTCTGAGCATATTTCGAAGAATATAGGAGCGAAATTCTCCAAACTTAATTTGTTAGTTTTCCGCTATTCGAAAACTTATACTTCTTTGATACTTTCACCCCTTTCCCTCAAAATGGAGCTATGTTGTACGTACATTTTTGGAGTCATATTGTTGGGCTTTGGAATTCGCATAAATTTGGATATGTATGCCCTCAAAAATTTCATAAAGATCGGACAGTAAAAGCCGAAGAAGCACTGCCGCGACGTAAGCTGCGCATCAAGCGCATCATGTTGTATGCATCAAAATAAGCAAGAATGTTGGTAACGGCAGCCTGTGGCTGGGCTCAGGGTATATACATATATTGTTTCAGGTTTTATTTTTCATTTAATGCAGAAACAATTTCAACTAACTACAGGTTTGCTACAGGACGCTCTAAGCTGTACCACGTTAACTAGCATTTAAATTAACAGTGCGCTGAACAAGTTGAGAGTACAAAATACAACTACAAGTATTTAGGGATAGGTCTAGGCATAAGGGGCGTTATAATACATACGAGTACGAGAGCTCAGAGAGATTCGTTAAAAACAATGCAATAAATATGACATAAGCAGAACATATGCTGTATGTGTTAGTCTGGGTAAGGAGCGAGATGTAGCCGCTACTTCTTGACAGGCGTGGCCGGCGGAGAGCGATAGACGTTGACCAACCCACCAGCATTCGGCTTGCGGCTCTTGAGTCGCTGCTGCAGCGTCTGGAGCAGGCCGGCCAGGACATCATGATTTGGTATCTTCTTGGCAAACAGCAGACGCTTCACTGAATCATCGTAGGTCAGCAGTGCGACCATATTCTGCAGCAGAAAGCACTGGCAATACTCCAAGAGATTGTTGGCATTGTAAACCTGTGAGAAAGAACCCGAGTTGGTCACCAGCTCCATGTGAATGATAATAATAAGCACCCACCTTAGCATGTATATACATGGCGACCACATTGTCCACATCGACCATCTCGGAGCAGCGCGCCTCTGTGTAGCGCAGCAGCGCCTCCAGCTGAAAGAAGCTGGCGGCAGCCATCAGTTCGAGCACATCACCATGGGATACATCCAGAGCACTGCAGCCGCCGCTATATAGAAACTGCATGACCAGCTGGAAGATGTGATAGCGTATATCATTGATCTGGACAGTGGGCGTGCTGGTGGCATCGCTTAGCTTGGCACTGAGCATGCTCTGGAATCGTGGCGAGGCCGTGACCAGCACTATCTTGTGGCCATAGAATATTTTACCCTCGACGCTGCAAGAAAAATATGTGAAAAGTGGACGTTAAAACTAATCCAGATAACTTGATAGGGCTGCTGCCATACCGAAAGGTGACATCGCTTAGTTCCGGATTGTTGACAAACTTTGGATCGATGCGTGTGCCCTGGACTGGCTGCAGTGGCGGCTGCTCTTTCAGTGGATGCAGCGCCTCCCAGCCAAAGCATGTGGCAAAGATGTCCGCCAGCAGCAGCGTGGTGCCTTCGTTCTTATTGCGAAAGATGTTGAAGAGCAGGGGCAGGCACTCGCTAACAAACTGGGCGCTATAATCATCGGGGCAAACCTGGAGAAAGTCCTGCAACAGCTGATCAATGACCGCGTCCAGTCGCAACTCGTGAGCCGCCGACAGCGCATGCATCCAGCAGTGCAAGGTCCAGGGCACACCCAGCTTGCGCAACTCTATGGTTATATCTGAAATGGAATAAAGAATATATTCTTAGCATTTGTGGAGGCTGTTTTCGTTTGGGTTTTCTTTTGGTTTACTGCTCACCCAAGTGATTGTTCTCGGCGCTGTGGTACATGGCCTCCTGGAGTCGCTTGATCTGCGTCTTGTTCAGCAGCGGCAGCAGATCTTCCCCAGCGACTGTGGCCGCGGCAGCGCCAGAGCCACGCACACCCACCACATCGCCCTCGGCGAGCATCTCCTCCAGCGAGAGCACATCCCGCGTGCCCGGCGACAGCGGATGCGTGAGCAGCTTGCGCAGGCACGAACGATGCCCATGCGCTGCCGCCACGGAGATGGCACAGAAGCAACCCTTCTGCGCGGCACCCGCAAAGCACAGTGTGTCCTTCTGCTGTGTAGACAGGAAAGCATTGGCGCCATGCGCCAGTAGGAGTGCCACCATCTCCAGATTGCCTGTGCCCGCGGCCAGCTGCAACGGCGTCAATGTGCACTTCTCCTCGCTGCTGCGAGCACCGCCCTCCACCTTGCCGCCGCGTTCCAGCAGAATGCGCAGCGCCACATAGTTAGCACGGCTGGCGGCAAAACTGAGTGCCGTCCAGTGTTGTGTGTCCGGCTGTATGGCCGGATAGCCAGTGCTTCCCGCCGCCGGCACCTCCACATTCGGATCACAGCCGGCATCGAGCAGGGCATGCAAGGCGACCTCATCATTTCGTATGCTGGCAATCATCAGGGCTGTCAACCCGGCGCTATTCTGTGTATCATAGCGTGTGGTAGGCGGCAGCAGCTGCGCAGCTTGGGCTAGAAGCTCGGCGCGACCCGTCAGCAGCAGCTTGAAGGCGACACCAATGGTGGCACGCCTGCCCAGTTCCGAAGTGTCCTCGCCAATACTGCTCACGGCCGGGGAACTGGAGCTGGAGCTGCCAGTGCCAGTGGCGCTGCCACCCTGGCTGCTGCCGCTGCTAAAGTGCGTCTTCTTTGTGGGCAGCTCCTCATCATGAGCCACAGGACGTATGGGACAATCCACTCCGGGCAGCAATAGACGCGCAGCCTGCAACAGGATGTAGATTGGGTGTGTTAGGACATAAAACACTAATTGAAGGTGTGCCTCAGCTTACCTGCAAAATATCATCCTTGTCAATCATCAGGCCATTGCGGTGCTCAGCGTGCGCCGATGCCACTCGCAGCCATTCGGCCAGCGGTGGGAGCACCACGTAGGCGCGTTCATAGCACAGCTCCTGGACGTTATGGGTGCCACTGTTGGGTGGCGCCTGGCCGGCCGTTGAGCTCTGGGCAGCCAGCTCAGTGTGCTCCAGCTGGGAGCAGCGCATAAAATAGAACAATGCACTTAGCGCCGCATTGGAGAGGGCGGTGGCATGCTGGAATTCCTGCTGTGTGCGCAGCGCCTTCTCCTTTAGCTCGCGTATGCTACCCACACAGGTGGCCAGCGAAAAGGCGCTTGCCCAGCGCGGCATGGCCAAAGCGCCGGAGGCAATGCGTCCGGCATTCAAATGTGCAAACGGCTGCAACAAGCCCCAGAAATCGCCAGAACTGGCAATGCTCTGATCTAGAGCCTGGGCAGTGGTGCCACCGGCACCGCCGCCGCACTGCAACATAATCTCCTCGAGCAGATTTTCAATGCCAGCGCACAGGTAGACGGCAGCGTACTCGTGTATGAACTTGCCCAGCCGAGCATCGGTCATCCATCTGAAGAAGCTGCCCACCGACAGCTGTAGACCGGCGCGTGAGGATTTGCTTTGCTTTAGGGCGCTCTCGCCGGGCACTGCGAACATGGCGGCGGCACGCAGGCACGCCTTGGTGCAGGAGTCGGCAAGTGTGGAGCAGAGCACCACCTTGAAGGCGCCGGTCACCTCCTGCTTGGAGCACAAACCCAACCCAGCCGAGAAACGTTGTATCTCCCGTGCGATGCGCACCAGAGCACGCTGCAGCAGATAACCTAGCCGGGAGATGACCTCTACGGACGCATGCTCCGCCTGCTGCTTGCAGCGTCCATTCCGCAGCACACGCATAATGCACTGTTGGCTCCACGGTGGATGCTGCAGCTCCACGAGCCGATTGTGCGAGTCCACCCACACAAACTCATCCGCGCTGGTGCTGGTGATCACCGTCTCCAGCGACGAATAGCGTCCCAGTCGCCTGGCCGGCTCTGAGCTCTCCGAGCCGGCGCTCAGGCTGCTGTAGGTGCTGCTGCTTGTCTGGGAGCGCATTGTTAGCTGTTGTATGGCCAGCTTTATGTCCTCCAGGCCGCTGCCGCTCCAGGGTGCTTTGCCGGCTGGCATTATTCCACGATGGCGTCTCGAGCGTGTGCTGCGATTGGTAACACCAGCGGCCAGCCGATCCTCGGGCAGCGGTCCCAATGTCAAGCCGCCCGCTGGCGAGGAACTGTGCCCGCCCGTATCCGACATGCTAGCATGGCCTGAGCTACGATTCTCATCCGAGGAACTGTGGCACTCCTGCACCCGCTGCAACGCCCGAAACTGTTCGTGCTGATGCGTTCGCGGCGCCTGCGTCGTCGTCGTGGATGTCGGTATTCCCAGCGTGGGCCGACTGGGAGAGCTTTGCAGGCTGCCGCTCAGCTGCGGTGGCTGAGACTTTACTGGCGTACTTTGCACCGTCAGCCTAGCGGGTCCGGCAACCGCACGCTGCGGCATTGCCGTCTTGGAGATGGGCGAAGTCAGCTGCTGATGCTGCTGCAGTGGCAAGGGGCTGGTTACCACTGGTAGCGCATTCGCTGTTATCTTATTTACATTCACAGGCGCCTTGTTCGGCTGCTGCGCCAGCTCCTTAAAGACTCGCGGTGCTGGCGTTGCCATAGCCACCGCATGGCCACCACCGCCGGCTCCCACTTGTGGTGCTGCAAGGGCTGGTTGCGCCTGTTGCTGTATCTGCAGCTGCGGCTGCGGCGGCACCGGCACTGGCGGCAATCCCGTCACCTGTGCGGGCGCCTGCTGTCCAAAGTTTGGCGGCAAGTTGCCCGTGGGTCTGTTGAAAGATAAAAGACATTGACTCGTAAAGTATTTAGTCAAACTGGACTTAATGTATGTGAAAGGAGTAAATTAGTACAGTGAAAACAACTCTAACGGACACAATTATGGGCTTTTCGTTTCTGTAAAACCAGCACGAAGCAGGCTTAGCTAATCTCCCTCTGTTAGGTGGACACTTCTTGAGCGGACAACAACTTCCCGACTACTTTTGTCTGCCCAAGTGAATTTTCCTTGTATACACTATCTGGTAACAATCGGTTTGTACTCTCTTGCCCGTATTGCCTTAACCACCCCATTCCTATATGGCAGGGAAGATGATTCGAAAACAAGTCGATCGGATAATTTAAACGAAAATGGTGAATAAACGTAGGCCAATTTTTCCCAAAAATGTGGATATTGCGTACCAAAAATCTAAAACGTCTTCCAATATTTTTCACAAATATCTGATTTTAAAACTGGCGGGAATAAAATAGTGTATTTATTTTTTAAGATATTATAAGCAAAATTATTTGGAGGGAGCATTATGAAAATTTCCGCAAATACGAATGGAATTTTTGGAAAAGCGCATTTTAATTCATTTAGACCGCGTAAGCTCATATAACAATAGCTGAAAATGGGCGTAAAGACTTGCCTTGATTATAGGTTTAGCTACTTGAACATTACGATAGAGACTATGCATGAGATAATACTTTAGGAAATATAGATATTTTGATCGATGATTGAGGGAGTAAACGATGTTACATTACTATTATATTTCCTTAAGATATTTCTAACAAAATTGTTCTTAAAGAGTATGAAACTTAAAAGAAGCTTACGCGAAACAGAACAGAAAAGTTGAACTTTATTCAAATGTATCTTTGCTTGACCCATTTGTGAGCAGCAGCCCATCAGTTATGCAACTAATTAGAATACATCTGAATTTGTAGAATTTGTCAACCCAAAAGTAAACAAAGCAACGCCTAACGGTCAAGGCAGCTGCTGTCATATACTATGTGATATAGGTAGTATATCTGTCATATTACCGCTTATCTTTCACACTGTCTTGACAATCTACTTGGTCATCTTTGTATCTGTGTGAGGTTTGTATTTGTGTGTATTTGAACGCAGAGCGCGATCTTGGGCTTGTGCTGGGGCTTGAGCTTGAGCTTGGGAGGTGGCACCTAATTAAAAGCAGAGTTACGATCTGGAGGCCGTTGCTGAGTTTGCGTCTTTTTCAGCGAAAACTTTGTCAAACGCTTTTTGCACTATAAAGAGCCAAATCGGGGGACTGCGACTCACTGAAGCTGTTTGCTTGAATAAATACTTGTCCGTATTATATGATGTTCTTCTTATTAACCTGCTTCGATCTATTAAATAATTATAAATTGGATGCAAATCTGCATTTTTCATATAAAATGTGTGGATAAAACGAATAATTCAAGCGCACAAATGCGAGACTGACGAGTAACTCAAAGGTTCTCAAGCACGTTAGAGTATGCGCAATTCTGTGTGCTAGCCAAGATACACAGTAAAGTTTCCTTTTGTTTATGAAATTGGGTTGCTATTCGTTCTCACATTTCTGCACTGTCGTTGGCTCAGAAGAACATCAACTAACTGGAAAAAAAAAAATTAAGAGCCAGTTACGACCATTCATTTGCATGGCGCAAAGATCCAAGTTAAATCGTTTGCTTTTATTATGATTTTTGATTTCATGCTGTAACATAAAACTTCGTTTCTATGTTTGATTGACCCAGAATTTAGCAGCGTTTTTTTTTTTTTTTTGAAAACTGCCCATTGTTCTTTTGGATAGCAATGGACAATGTCTTGCGCTAAATACGATTTATGGCTTTTGGCAGTGTCTTACAATGCTTTGACATGAGCTCATTTAGCGAACTGTTTTCTACACAGAGACGATCAGTGACCTCTCGGAATTATTCACGAAATCCGAATATAATATACAAACATGTAATTAGCTGTATATATCTTTGGGTGCTGACAGACAGATTAGTGATGATCTTAAAAAATTCCACCCACAACTGTGGAAAATATGTGGGAAAAGTCTCTAAAAACTCTTTTTTTCTACCCTTCGATTAAATTAAAAATGTATTTTCAAAGTTTTTTGTTAATTTTAATTCAAGAAGTGTTTCACACTTTTCGATAAATTCACCGTACTTGGTGAAATATGAGAATCGTCTGTAGCTCAATAACCTACAGAAATAAATAAAAAAAATCTTGTTCCAGCGACTTTATAAGACCTACCTCAAGGGAAGAAGAATGCATGCATTAAGCATGAAAATGGGTGTCAAAGGTTGCAAGGGCATAAGTTAAATTTCCTAAACTAATTAACATATCATAGACTACTCAAAGGACTTATATTCAATTTCTTTTTTTTTTATACTTAGATTTTCACTCTTACTCTCATATATATATATTTAATCAACTCCCTTTTCATGCAAATGTTTAACAAAAAAGACTAAATCCAAATGTTTTCACTTGCTAGTCGGGGCTGGGCAAACCCTCACAGCCATGGCTTTCACAGCTCAAGAATATGGGAGCCCAGACAACAATTGATGCAAAAAAACAACAACAACAATAAAAAAAATGGGCAAAAAATAATGGCAAATCATTTGAAGTGCTTTTCACTACCGTCTCGCAGCGCGTCGCCACTCCTGAACGTAGCTCCAATCGCATGAATCTGACTGACTAGCGGTCTCCGCATCGTGGCCAGGGCCAGAGACGCTGTCATCATCATCATCATCGTCGTCGTCGTCATTATCATGATCAGCTGCAGTTAGTTCGCTGTTGGCAGCATCGGATTTCATTTGGCCAACAACGGCCAGAGTTGGCTTTGCCACTGTTTCCACCAGCGCACTGGCGCGCCGGTAATTGCCTTCAATTTTGATATTAATTACGCCATTCTGCACGCTCTCAATGTAGGGCGGCAGTTCATCATCAACGTTTGCCTCTGCCTCCGCCTCCGCCGCCACCGCCGCCGCCGACTGGGGCAGTTCCAACTCCTCCACCGCCTCTAACGCTATTCTCGGCTCCGTCTCTGGCCTGACTTTGTCATTGGCCTGCAGTTTGTGGGACATCTCCTGCAGCAGCTGTGAGTGGAGACTGGCTGCATCTGCGGGCAGTTTCGAAGCCAATGCTGCGGGTGGCTGCTGCTGCTGCTGCGGCGGCTGCTGAGCTCGATTCATGGAGTCACCAAAATAGATGACCACTTTGTGATTTGGTTTAACCTCGCGATCACCCAGATTTCCATTCCCATCACGATCCTCTGCCCGCCGGCTCTGTGTGGCCGCCCAGTCGGGCAGCTCCTCGATGGGCGTGGGCGATGGTGTCTGCGCTGGGCGTGGCACATCGCGCGGCTGCGACTGACACATTTCGCTATTGCGCAGCGATTGCGGCTGAAAGTTCTTCAGCGAAATGCCGCGTCGCCGCAGTATGAAATTCTCATTGAGCATGCGACCCAGCAGGGAGCTGGGAGGCGTTCCCTTCCCAGCCAGCTTCGACTTGGACTTGGCGAGCAGCTGTTGCTGCGGAGGCAGCACTGCTGACTTCTTGGTGCTTAGCTTATAGTCGCGTAGCTCGCGGCACAAACGGCAGGCGCAATCTTTGGTGCAGTACATATCGAAGTTGGGTTGGATTTGATTTAAATTAGGTTTAAATTTACAAGTTTTCTGAAAATTTTAAATTTTATTTGCTGCGCGGCATTTGGTTACGACTTTTGCTTTGGTTTCATTTCACTTTGCGCAGAAATTGCGATTCTGGCATACACAATTTAATACACCAAATAATAACAACAATTATGCAAATTATAAATTTTCATTGCTCTAGCGCCGTGCGCAGCGTTGCGTGGCCGACGACGTACGTATCCAAAGCTGTATTCGAATCCGAATCTGTGTCCCGACTCCGAATTTTCCAGCACTCGACTTTTGTGTTCTCGATAAACACGTTACCGTGCGCGTTCACACTTCAAGCTAGACTGAAGCTTACCAACTGCCAGCTGGTGGTTCAAAGCCAGCGCGGCGGCTGTTGTTGCTGCTGCTGCTGCTGTTGCTGCTGCCGCTGTCAACGCCAGCATCGCTGCCGAGTCATTGTCTAAGCGCGGCAACGTCTGTTTTTCCTGATTTTCACAGAGTGTAGCGTAGGCCTTTGGGGCCCATGCCACCTTGCAGGTCTTTGGCTTGGGTAATTTCAGCTGCCGTGAGTTGTTGTTTCTCAGCTGTGTGACCAAAACAATGGCACAACTGTAACATCCAACAGCCAGTGGCAGCAGCAGCAGCAGCAGGCAGCAGGCAGCAGGCAGCAGCAGCAGCGGCAGCGGCAGGCAGAAGTAACAGCAGGCGGAGATTTACTCCAGGGCAGAGCCCATCAGGTCTGCGTAGTCGTATTGAAAGCGATATTGTGGCTTCCGAGTCACTGCGACTGCGATGGTCATTTACATACAACTCAAATATTAATGAAGTACTCGGTGTACTAATAAAGTCACAGCAAGTGCGATTAAAATATATTATTATCTGAATCTTCATTTAGCTGGCTAGAACTTCGGGAATAGGTTTATTTAAAATAAAATTAATTATTTAAAGACAATATATAGAAAAGAAAAACAAATATAAAGATTAAAACAAAATTGTTCTTCATTTTTGTTTTTAATAAACTAAGCCCCGGACCTCGAGCTACTCTCCAATATGATTTTCGAATCACACTGCATAAGAAAATTATAATATTTAATTTAAAAAAAATAAAAAAATAAAATAAATAATAAATCAGGAAAACAAAAAAGGTATCTAATACAATACTATTATTAATATTTAAATCAAAAATCTCAGAGAATTAAGGAGAATATAGACACATTTCATACCCAAAAATATATACACTCATAAACCATTTAATATAAATAATATTTTATATATTCAAATCAAATATCTAAGAGAAAAAGAGAGCGTCAACTATATCTAATAAATAGGATTTTTTTAAATATTAAATATAGTTAATATACATATAAAGTATCTT